TGTCATAAAGAGTACCTTGTCTGCAACAATGTTTAGGTAGTTGGGATATGTTAAATTTAGGTCCACGTGATTGGCCGAACCCAGGGTTTCCCAACAGAACATTGACCACAGTGTCATATCTCCCTTCCACCGACTTCCCCAGGTGAACGGCACACATGTAGGCCTACATGACCGTTCTTGTGATGTTGCCCTTGTTTGACAAAGATACTTGAGCGTGTTGTTGCCAAACATCATCTTACAACCAATAACCGTTTTGAACCCCTTCAGTCAGTTTTCCGTAAATTTCACAGCACTGAAACGGCGTTGGTCAAAGTTACCAATGACTTGATGATGGCCTCTGATTCTGGAGCTACCTTCCTTCTCATTCTTCTTGACCTTAGAGCTGCCTTTGTGGATCATAGTCTATTACTTGCCCATCTTGAAAGTGTGTTTGGTGTCTCTGGGACAGTTTTAAATTGGTTTAAATCCCATTTTGTTTCTATGTGTGGTTTTAGGTCTGATACTTGCTCTGTGCTCACTGGTGTTCCCCAAGGATCAGTTCTGGGCCCTCTGCTCTTCAATATCTATCTATCTCCACTTGGGCATCTACTGCGATCACTTGGCCTTCATTATCACTTTTATGCTGACGATACCCAAATATACATCCATTCTAAATCTGGCGGGGACATCGATGTTTGTTATCTTTCTGGCTGTATATCTGAGATAAACGCATGGTTGAACAATAACTTTCTTTGCCTGAACAGCGGGGAAACAACGGTTATGCTTATGGTTAAAAAGCACTCTTGGCACTTTTAAAGTTCTTCTTAAGACACTTTTTTTTAAAAACTTGCATTTGATTGTCTCTTCTTGATCGTTCAACAGCTAATTTTATAAAAAAAAATTCTGCTTTTGTTTTTGTCTATTCTGGTGAATTATGATTTTATGTACAGCGCTTTGAGAAGCTGCTTCTAAAGGCGCTATATAAAATAAAGTTTATTATTATTATTGTGCATTAATGAGACTTGGACGCTGGTTTGTCCCTCCTCTGACCACTATTGGTAAATTCTCTGCACTGCTGACCGGTAGCAACACACAAGCCTTGCCGTTTCAGAGATATTCGGATCCAGTCGCCTTGCCATAACAATTTGGCACTTGTCAAAGTCGCTTAGATCTTTATTTCTGCCTATCCACCACTTTGATTACAAGAACTGATTGTTTGCTTACCATCTAATCTAACTAGATCTCAATTTGTGGCCTTGTTGGAGATGATAAACGATATTCACTTCACCTGTAGCTGGTAAGTATAATAACATATAATAATAAATATACCAAATAAAAATTTTCTGCTAAGAAAACAAACAAATAAATAAATAAATACAAATCCTTCCTAAAACATTGCTCATTTTAAGTTTTATCCAGTCTATTTCTTATTTATACTTGTCCAATTAAAAAAAAATCTTGCTTTTTGCTATTGTTAATGTTTTACTTGCTGTGTTTCACGAGTCCTCAATATTGGGCCCGTAACAGAGGGTGGTGGAGGGATGCTGAAAAACCGTTGAGGAATGTAGGCGAGTCGACTGAGTGAATACATATGCTGGTAGGATAGACATGGTTGTTGATGACAAGTTGATGGATTGATTATTTGAACGTGCTCCTCCCGAACTTTGTTTAATGAAACATTATTTAGAACTCTATTATTTCTCTGCTGTTGTGATTAGATGGAAGCACAAAGAAGTTAAACGTTTTTTTTTGTCCTGTCTGTCTCCCTAATGATAAAAGTTCAGCTCTGTAGGGCATTATGGGTAAACAAGTCGGCTGTGATAATAATGTGACAGAATACAGCTAATAAGCTTCATGTGTAAAGCAGGTGAGAGGTGTGGTATTAACACCTTTGATTGGTCTTGACTCCTTTGAGAAATGGTGGACTGATAACAAGTCTCATGGGACCAAGACACAAAGCATCATTAATGAGGTGTGTGACTGGCAGCTGTGGATTTGAAAGCAAGATATTTCTGGAATGGTTTTAAATATATAATAAAAGTGTTAAGCAGAGCATTATAACCTCTTAAGAGATAAGAGATAGGCAGGACATGTAGGCCTTATATCAGGGTTCCTCAAACTCAGGACTGAATGGCCAGACTGATCTCATGAAATGGCGTATGTATGGCACGCCAATTCGTATTTCCATTTTCGGCGTGCTATCAACACGCATAATCGCTTTCCAGCGTATTTATGAACGCTGTTGACTTAACGTTACTGTATATATAAATATATGACCTACCCCAACCCCGTCCCTAAACCTACCCGTCACTGGGGATAATAGCATTTATGGGTCTCCCCCACCATCCTAGGAAAAAAATATTGCTCCCCAGATCTAGATCTACATCTTGCTTCGTTTCGCTCGGACATTTAATGGCGTGTATATACACGCGGAATCACTTGGACATTTAATGGCGTAGACATACACACATACAAGCAGATACACGTGGATAGCTCAAAATGTGTATAGATAACACGCCACTTGACTTGTCTAGTGCCGTGTTATCTATTTGGGCAGGTGTGAAGGCAGCAATCGCACTCGGGTACACACCAAATGCGGACCAAACAGTGTACCGAGACCTCCTCGAAGAGGTGGTCTCGGTACACTTTTAAACGAACTCTGGAGCGGTTCGTTCGTGGTGAGAACGTGATCCGACCTCGAACAAACCCAACTGCCAAATAACTGCGCACTTTTGGACTAAACCAGCTGCCGTAATAAAACAAAATGATTATTTATATAGCCAGTAGCTCTCCTTTTAAGCCATGACTGACTTACCGCATTCTGCACTCTCACTAAAACACTCATCATAAACACGGAAGTTGTCCACACTGCACAGTGAACCTCTTATTTATATCGCATCTATACTTTGTTGTTTATAAGGAGATTTGCAAAAGGATAAAGCTTGTGCTGATTCTGAACATGCATTGTGACTGAATTCTCCGGATTCAGCCGGATTTTGCTCCTCTTTGTTTACTTCCAGGAGTTCTGTTGGAATTTTCACGTACGTTAATTCTGACCAATCGAAGTGCAGTTATGGAAATATGTTCAAGACATATCTGGCCAACGAGTAATGTGGATGTTGTCACGTGACTATATTTTGGTTCGTTTCATCAACTGATTCGGACCAGAGCAATCAGTGTGATGTGAAAACGAACCAAAACCCCTGAAAAAAGCTACAAAGTATAATTTTTCGCCCTTGGTCTGGACCAACTGAACCGAACTACAGATGTGAAAGCACCCAAAGGACCTAAGTCTTATACTGTAAAGGCCAATTCACACTACACCGATACATACAGACTTCATCTCAGGTTTTTTCAGATTAGTGTTGGCGTCCCTGTTGGCGTCCATTGCCGTTGGTCTGCACTTGGTTTCACTGATTGAACATGTTGAATCTGCATTTCTCGGGTCATGGAGTGAGAAGTGATATGCTGTAATCTGGTGACTGTCCGTATTGGTCGCCGTCTGATGGTGTTTTTTGAAGTTGTAAATAAAAGCAAAGTGTAGCAAGGTTAGATGTTATGGAAAGAAGGAGGCGAACATTCAAAGACTTAAATAAACGTAAAGTAAACAAATACAAAATGAAAGTAAAGACAGCAGGCCCTCAATGACGTTAAAGATACGAGGCCGGTGCATCGCGCAGGAGTCGCTCATTATCAATCACGTGTTTTGTGAATTTTAATCATTAGTGAAGATTACTAGGTAATCTGAGCCATGTGTTTCCATTGAACCTATTCCATGAGTAAATTATAGATGTTAATGTGGTTGTGGGTGACGTTTCTGGAACATATGGGACAGGACCTCTGACCTTAGGGACGGCCAGTTTTGGCCAGTTTATTCCAGTACCAGTTTGTGTCCTTAACTAGAGACTAAACAGCAGTAAGGCCCTTAGCTGGGTGGGTGAAAGGTACAGCGGGTGAGTAGGAACCTTGAAAAGACTATGAGAGATGTCTCCCTGAGGGCTTCTCACACACTCCACAGTGTAACAGCTGTGTTGGCGACTGGGCCTATTCTTGCAAGAATAAAAAACTTGTCTTTCTTTGTTAATTTGACTCTTACGCAAGTGTCTCTTACGCAGTGATGATTTTTGCCACAACACACGCCAGCGGCTTCGCGCCATTCTCCCACGGCCCTAGTCCTGCTAGCCACACACAGATTTTTAGGTTATGTTTTTAATAAGAAAATACTGTTTCAGTCTTTGACTTCAAAATTGCATGTTTAATTCAATGCGTTATTTACTGTTTCTTAATTGGTGAAATTGAATAACAATTTCTGAATGAAGTAAATCCAACACCAATTTTTGTTTAGTGTAGACTTAAAAGGCTGTGTGGTCACTTTTGTTCTACCAGAAAGACTCGGGAGAATAATTCCATTACCGGTATACATTACATTTATTAACAGCTCACCAAGCACAATATGATATAAAGGTCTTAAGTGTAGGCCCCGTCCGAAGTTCGCATTCCGAGGGAGCGGAATCTGCATGTCCTGCCTGAAGACGAAGTCAGGGGCGCAGCCGACCCCCCGTTTATGGGACGGGACCATCCTGGTGATGGTGTTGGGGAGGATGGAGGGGAAGGGACATCTTGGTGGTGCAGGAGAGGATGGAGGATCTTTTATGTTACGAGTATTTAGAGCATTTGGACAAAGAGAATGTTAACAGTGACGTAATGATTTAGTATTCCCGGTAGAACTTACGCAAAAGCAACATTTCTCAGCATTTCTCAGTTGGTTGATTTTTTGTTGTTGTTGCTATAATCTCCAGAGTACATGATGTTTTTGTAATCATGATGTTTTTGTACATTGAGGTTTACTTTGAATATGAGAGTATATATGGACACAAAGCAGCTCTGAATCCATTGATGAAGTTAAATTAGAAGGGCATGTACTATGTATGTGTATATCTTTCTTTGGATATTCATCTTTGCCAAACTGTAATTTATGAAATTGTTCTTTGTATACTTTTATTTATAATTGTCAGCCTTTTATGATTACTAAGAAAATAATTTTGGGATTTGGGACAAATGTGATGACTTCAAATATAACTGACACTAAAAATATGTTTCTCTGCTATCCACTCCTGCTGAACTCCTGTGCAAAATCGCATCGTCTTACTGTAGTTAGAGTGGCAATGTATGTTTTCATGGTGCTGATGATCCTCACAACAGTTTTTGGGAACCTGCTGATCATCATCTCCATCTCTCACTTCAAACATCTACAGTCTCCAACTCATCTGATCGTTCGCTCTCTGGCTGCCAGTGATTGTCTGCTGGGATCTTTGGTCATGCCGTACAGCATGGTGCGATCTGTTGAAGGCTGCTGGTATCTGGGAGATTTTGTGTGTAAAGTGCATTCTAGTTTAGACATGACCTTCTGTATCTCTTCCATACTGCATCTCAGTTTAGTATCGATTGACAGGTACTGGGCCATTTGTGATCCTTTAAGGTACAAAATGAGGGTCACAAACAACATTGTGACTATATTTATTACCTTCACGTGGCTGTTTTCATTTCTCTACAGTTTTTCTATTGTGTTTTCAGGTGTGAACAAAATTGGCTTAGAGTCATTTATCATGCAGGTTTACTGTGTGGGAAGTTGTGTTCTGTTTTTTAACAAACAGTGGGGTTTAATATGTCCAATTCTCACATTCTTCCTTCCCGGAATGATCATGAGCTCTCTTTATATGAAAATCTTCCATGTTGCAAGAAGACATGCAAAGGTTATGTCAGAAAGAGTGACTGTGGTGACAGCAGGAGGGTTGAAGAGCCAAAGCTCTGCACAAAGAGAAGGAAAAGCAGCGAAAACTCTGGCCATTGTCATGGGAGTTTTTTATCTTTGCTGGCTGCCTATTTTTATTGCTACAATCATTGACTCTAGTCTTAATTTTGTGACTCCAGCCAGTGTCTTTGATGCTTTGGTTTGGTTTGGATACTTTAACTCCACTTGTAACCCATTGATATATGGGTTTTTTTACTCTCGGTTTCAGAAGGCCTTTATGATTCTCATATCATCCCGTATTTATGGCTTCAGTGATTCACGCACCTTGAGATTTGAATGAATATGTGAGCAAATATTTTGTAATTTAAATTTTTAGGTTATGCTTCATAATAGGGACTTTACTTATCTTATTAAGAAGAAGAAAATATAAATACGATATTAGGAACATTGAAATAAACTGATCAAGAAGGTGTTCTGTATCTAAGAACCCTTGATTTAAAGTTGTGATCTTCTTGTTTATTATTATTCCTCTTAACTGGAAGAAATGACAATGTTAACCTAAACTGTTGCAAGGTTATGCAACAGTTTAAGCTAAACTAGAAATGAAGTAGATAAAGATACAAATATGATATACAGATGCAAAAATATTGATCACATATGCTTGATTTTTGTCTTTTACAATAAACGATCCCTTTAGAAGAACAATGTGTCCTAGTGTGTATTTGATTTACTTGTAAAAAAATATTTGTAACTTCAATATTTTAGACCATATCATTATACTCTAATCCCTATCAGGGAACTTCGAGCTGCGTGAAAACGCTGTGGGAACGCCCCTGCGTGAGTGCGTCATGAATTACGTATGAAATCAGTCCAATGGCGAGACGGAACGTCATAGGTGGGTGACGTTATCGACCAGAAAACAATATAAGCACCACAAAACACAAGCGCGTCAGCTTCTGAGTCTTCAGCAAGCGCTCTGTGTATGAACAGTCTGTCTCAAAGTGTTTTTGTCTGTCCTTAGAAGTTGCTAGGCAGGAGTTTTTCACACACACACACACACACACACACACACACACACAAAGTTCAGAAAGTGTGTTCATCCCTGCCCACGTTAAATCATGGGTGGGGACACTTACGATCTGTGTGTTGTTTGTTTGGGAGAGCAGCATGCCCAGTCAGCTCTCGATTTAGCTGATTGTGAGCACTGTGAGCGTTTGTCCATGAAAACACTCTGCTCCCGCAGAGCCCTCTTCGAGGAGAGTGGTTTGGTGCGCGCTCCACGCAGTTCGGGTCCCGCTGCTGCCAAGGCACAGCGAAGGCTTCAATCGTGGGGATCGCAAATGGATCTATCAGCGGGGATTGAGACGGGCTCTGCCTTATCTCTGCCCTTACCTGGTAGATCCAGCGCCTCAGATCCGGGTTTGGAAGCACGCGCCGCGGTTTCTTCCACCCGGGCTGAGGCACCATTACTTCAATTATCCAGTTCTGAGGAATTGGATGTTGAAAGTGTGGATACAACTAGGGCTGTCGCGGTAACCGCAATATTGTAGTACCGCGCTTCTGACAAGTCAACCGCAGAGGATTGCACGTAACCGCAGCAACCGCGATATTCACTTTTTTTTTTTATATAAGGCTATACCCTTCTTGTTTTGAACTTAATGCATGTGTTGAATGTTAAACAAGTTCATAACGATAACAAGACTGTTTATCATGGTGATGTGTAGCTTACAGGCTTCACACAGACAGTGAATGAAAGAGATCGGCAGAGCGCGTCACGCGCTGCGCGTGCAATTACCTGCGTCTGTCTTTGAAGTCGTGAAAAGCTTGTCGTGTCAAAGGGAAGCGAAATATTAGTCGCATCATCATTTTAACGTTCTCTTCATGGGTATTTTCCCATAAATGCGCGTCAGCAGCAGCTCTGGTCAGCATCCCACAACACAAGGAAGCCGAAATAAAATCAGTGAGTCACGCATTGAATCAATGGGTCTCTAATAAGTGAAGCATCAGCTTCAGCGTTGCCTATGTGATGCATTGCTGCTCAGCTGAGCCTTGAAAAGTTGAATCTCAAAGTTAAAAATAAATAACATCTTGTTGAATCAGCTTTTTTTAAACGTGTTCGTCGAATGAACGGTTCAATGACTCGCTCAAAGTCCGTTGTCATAACAATATGCGCGCTGAGTGAAAGTCTTTCAATGCGCATATACTGTAGACGCTGTTTAGTTTCGGTTACATTGGTTACTGAAAATGTCCTCGTTTTTTTTCCACATCGTAAACATTATTTATATAGCAACAAAACCATATAATTATTTAAACAAATAAATAAATGGCGGTAATACCGCATATCGCGCTATTGAGTCACTCAACATTACCGCAAGGGAAATTCCATAACCGCGACAGCCCTAGATACAACAGAGTCGGGGTCTCGTCACTTCAGTGTCCTGCTAGTGAGGAGCTGATGGAGGTGCTCACTCGTGCTGTAGAGAAATTAAGCATCGATTGGCCAGGTGATAGGCCGGTATCTTTGAGAATATTTAGCCAGCAGACATCTGTTTATTCTAATATTTATGGGGCAATGCCTAAGGCTGAGGAAATATTAGCGAGCCATTTATCTCCAGAGACGGCATCGTCCTTTAAGACACCGGCATTGCCCACCAAGCCATTAAGAAATACCTTGGCTTTGGTGGGTAAAGCTTACTCGGCGGGTGGTCAAGCATCAGCGTGTTTGCATAATATGTCTATTTTGCAAGCCTATCAAGCAGACCCATTAAAAGACATCATAGGGGGATGAAATTGGTGCGGACGTGATTCGAGAATTACAACAGGCAGCTGATCTTTCTCTCCGTGCCACCAAGGAGACGGCCAGATCAGTGGGCCGTTCTATGGCAACCATGGTGGCCACGGAGAGGCACTTATGGTTAAATCTATCTGATATGAAAGATAAAGAAAAATCTTTTCTTCCGGACGCCCTGTTTTGGACTGCTGGCCTCTTCGGTGACTCGTGGTCATCGAGAGGTTTCAGGAAGAACAGAAGCAAGCGGTGGCGCTGCCTCCGTGTGCATGTCTCCTGGGCTGCTGGGCGGGAGCAGCCCCGGCAGTCGAGTAGCTCCTCACACTGGGCGCAACAAAAACGCCGCTCTCAGACGAGGTCGTCCAGGGGCAAGGCTGATCTGAGGACAGTTATTGTTGCCAGGAAGGCCTCGTCAAAGATGAAGTCCTGGATGTCAGGATGAGGGTGGTCCCAGTGGTGTATTCTAGGTTTTTGTAGTGAGTATACTCATTCATTATTATTTATTTGTAGAGCACGTTTAAAAACAACACATGGTTGACCAAAGTTCTGAACAGGAAAAAATAATCAATACAAAGATAAAGTAAAATTGCAAATGCAGTCAGTATGAATACAGGCATACAGAATAAATAACACATAGAATACAATACAGTTACAAGTTAAGAAAGTAGATTAAGAATCTGCATTAAGAAAGTGTCTTTTAAGCTTTGATTTGAAGGTTCATCACAAGGGTGCCGACCTGGGACCTGGCAGTTGTTCTAGAAGGTCTCTCTCTAGCACCGTTCGAGCCCATTGAAGAAGTTTCTGAGAAATTCCTTACTCCTAAAAACTATATTTCTTCTTGCCAACTCTTCATTAAAAAACAATTGGAGATATTCAAGCCATTCCGGTCTATCCCTCGTGCTTAGAATTTTCACTCGGCATGGTTAAGGCTTTCCTCCACTCTAGACCGGGGTTTGTCCCCAAGATCCCAACCAATGTGGTCAGGCCTATTGTACTGCAGGCTTTCTGTCCTCCTCCCTTTCTGACGCCGGACCAAGAGAAACTAAATCTGCTCTGCCATGTTAGGGCTCTAGATGCTTATGTCCACAGAGCTGCCCTTTGGAGGAAAAGTGAACTGTTTGTTTGTTTTGGACCACCTAGGAAGGGCTGTCCTGCATCTAAGCAGAGGTTGAGCAAGTGGGTGGTCGAGGCCATCTCACTTGCCTACGAGTCTGCCGGTCAGCCTTCTTCTTTGGCTGTCCGGGCTCATTCAACCAGGAGAATAGCTGCCTCTAAGGCTATCTTGTCAGGAGTATCTATCCAGGACGTTTGTGATGTGGCAGGTTGGTCCTCACCGCACACATTCGTGAAGTTTTACCATCTTGACTTCAGCTCCACTCCAGGGGCGCAGGTGCTTTCGTCCAAATGTGCGCTTTGACTTCACACGACGGACACTTGCTCGTATGGCAACGTTGGAATTTGCGTTCCCACAGCGTTTTCACGCAGGACAGAGTTTGCCCACACCTGCTTAAAAGTAATATATTTCACCCATAAATAAAAATTCTGTCATCATTTACTGACCCTTAGGTCGTTCCAAAGCTGTATGACTTTCTTTCTTATTTGGAACACAAAAGAAGATATTTTGAATCTCATCCTTTTGTTTTTGTTTTCAATTCAATTCAAAGTCAATGGGGTCCAATGTTGTTTCGACCCCAGAGTTGCATGGTCTGACGAGTCTACTATTAAAGTTTTAATTATTATTTTGATTTAGTATTCTAGTTAGTCTTTTTATTGTTTTTCTCATTCTTATCAGTTTTTTTGTTGTTGTCAATATCCTTAATTGTGTTATGTGCTACATTAAACTACATTAATCCATTCTGGCATGTGTCAGTGGTTCAGGCTGATGGTGGTGTAATCCAACCCATCCGTTGATCTTCAAATCACTACACACAGTTTAATCTCCTGAGCTCATGTTGTTTTTGTAACTATGGGTTATATAGGCTAGTGTACAGGGGTTATCTCGAATCTGAGCATATAAGACTGAGCTGCTCTAAGCCCATTTAGGGAGCTAACTAGATGTTAACTATATATCATGTACTATATAAATGTTAATCTTTCTTTGGATATTGGCCTTTACCAAGCTATCATTTACAAAATCATTTTGCTTATCCTTTGCCTTATTAAAATTATCTCAGCATATGGAGCAGACTTGATTACGTCAAATGAAACTGACTCTGAGAATATGTTTCTCTGCTATCCACTCCTGCCGGACTCCTGTCCTAAAGTACATCGTCTTACTGTAGTTAAAGTGGCAATGTATGTTTTCATGGTGCTGATGATCCTCACAACAGTTTTTGGGAACCTGCTGATCATCATCTCCATCTCTCACTTCAAACATCTACAGTCTCCGACTCATCTGATCGTTCGCTCTCTGGCTGCCTGTGATTGTCTGTTGGGATCTTTGGTCATGCCGTACAGCATGGTGCGATCTGTTGAAGGCTGCTGGTATCTGGGAGATTTTGTGTGTAAATTGCATTTTAGTTTAGACATGACCTTCTGTATCTCTTCCATACTGCATCTCAGTTTAGTATCGATTGACAGGTACTGGGCCATTTGTGATCCTTTAAGGTACAAATTGAGGGTCACTAACAACATTGTGACTATATTTACTACATTTACATGGCTGTTTTCATTTGTGTACAGCTTTTATGTTGTGTTTTCAGGGATAAATGCGGTTGGAAAGATGCTTAAATTGCAGATCTCGTGTGTGGGAAGTTGTGTTCTGTTTTTTAACAAACAGTGGGGTCTAATATGTACTGTTCTCTTATTTGTCCTTCCTGGAATGATCATGAGCTCTCTTTATATGAAAATCTTCCATGTTGCAAGAAGACATGCAAAGGTTATGTCAGAAAGAGTGACTGTGGTGACAGCAGGAGGGTTGAAGAGTCAAAGCTCTGCACACAGAGAGAGAAAAGCAGCAAAAACTCTGGCCATTGTCATGGGTGTATTTTATTTCTGCTGGCTTCCTTATTTTACTGTTACTGCTCTTGACCCTTTTTTCAATTATTTAACACCAGTTGATGTTTTTGATGCTTTGGTTTGGTTTGCATATTTTAACTCCACTTGTAACCCCTTGATTTATGGATTTTTCTACCCTTGTTTTCAAAATGCATTTAAGATTCTTATATCCACTTATGTCTGTGGCATCAACGATTCAAACACCTTGACTTTAAATAAATAGGACACTCACACTTATTTAGAAAAATATGTTAAGTTATAATACAACGTGCAGTCTGTTTTTTCATAAACTTGACAGTTTAAATTGTACACTAAACTCACATTTTAATGGATTTACATTTATTGGATTGTTTATAGACATCTATAGAAGGCAAGAAGGATATCCCGTACCTGTTGAAAATGTGTGGTTTGTGTAGTTGGATGGCTGAGTTCCAGAAAATCAGTATCAAAGTGGCTTTGAATGGATTTTTTAACAGTTACAGATTAATAGAAACAATGTGGGTTTAAAGAAATCTTTACTCAACACAAAGAACCAATTATCATTAAAGCTTATTTAGGACGATATTGTTCTATGTGTGTGTGTGTGTGTAAAGAACCTTCTTTTTTAGAGTGCACATACAGTAAATGAAAGTTTTTTTTTACAGTTCATGAAAATATAACTTTCATTAAACATTGATGGAACATTTTGTTCACTTTAAAAAATGCTGGACTCAGCCCATATTTCATTTTATTGGATTAGTTTCATTTTTTTTTTTTTTTTTACCCAAGGTGCAGGTAGGTTTTGTGTAACTTAGTGGCTGGGTCACATTTACTGAGAATACAAATGATGATCAGTTCTATTTTTAAAGACTGTTCCCATCCTTTACATTACGAACTCGAGCTCCGTCCCCTTTGTCAGTTTGTGGCCACTTGGTGGAGAACAAAATACATTACAGCAATACTTTTGTACTTTTAGCGATTGCATTATTAAATAAAAATAGTATGAGATGACACACTTTGCCATGCATGGCACTTGAGGTTTGGGTAAGAGTGTGTGCAGAGGCACATTGTCGTGACATTGTCTTAGGAGTGTTTTATACTTTTAACTTTTTGATATATTTGTAACAATGTCCAAGGTTCAATATAATGAGGATGGAAGAAGACAAGGGTCGGTGTGACTGGGTCTCATACTGGGTCTCGTTTATTGAAATTTGTTAACAGAAAATAAAAATGCGCACGAGCGCCTTCACCATAGATAAACTATGGCACAATCAAAGAAAATAAACAGTTTTCAAAAATTCCCACTCCGTTCAAGTGTGCACGGGATCCCAGTCCCTCTCTCTCTCTCTCTCTCGATCTCTTCCCACGCCAATCACTGTAATCAGAAACAGGTGTTCGTCATTTTGCACTTGACCTACTTACTTACCGCTTGGCTCCACCCCGCTCTGCCGCTACAGACCTCACTGAACCACGCCTCCCTCACTACATACCCCCACTGCCAGACTTAGGCCGGGGAACCCGGGGAAGTCGGCCACAGCCATCTGTACACCCAGGCCTTTGGTTGTAAAAAGGTTGTAATGCTAGATACCAAATGGGTGATCCGCACGTTGGTATCCATCATGCGGTGGAGCCAGAGGAGCATGGTTCGAACAGAGGGTGAACTCCCGTCCCTATACAGTCCCTCCAGGATTTCACGATTTTTTTTGGTGATTTTTGCGATCAAAATGACTGATTTTGTGGTGGTTTTTTCCAAAAATTTGTGAAAAAATTTGCGATTTATATAACGTTTACCATTATAGTATTCAGTCCTTCCAGAAAAATGCGGAGTTTTTTTGTGATTGTTGCGGGCAAAACTTGATTGATTATGCGGCCCGTTTTTTTTAAAAATGCGATGGAATATGCAGGATATTTATGCAATGAAATTGCAGGAATTTGCAAAAATTGAGGGAAATTGCAAAAATTGCAGTTTGATGAAAAAGAGAAAAAAGTGATTCCTCCAACATCCTGTTCTCACTAGGCTAATGTAAGAGTCATTTCTTATTACTTCCTTTGATAAGCAAGCATCATAGAAAGTGTTGGAATATTTAATTTCTCATCTTGTTTTATTTCAGACTGTAACGAGTGTAAATAAGGTATGGCCCCTTTAAGAGCTGCGCGCTCCCTGTTGAACTCTCTGCAGTGTTATATGTGCGCCTCGAACACCCCATGTGTGCGGGTAATTTCTGTTTGATGCTACTTCTTTTATCTTATGTTGTTTATTAAGTAACGATGTGACGGTAGAACGTGTGACAGACAGTTATACGAGTTAGATTTGTGAGGTGTCGATCGCCTCCGTGAGTCTGTCTGGCGTCGCGTTATTGCGTCACTTCATAACGTTCCCATGGAAACAGGAGGAAATGGCTGCTCTTGTGTGAAGCAAACGCAACATTTTTCAACTTTTTGCTAAGATACATGTGACTTTTTTTGCAACGAAAATGCGAGGATTATGAAATAATGCAAACCCCGCATATTTTGCACGGAAATCGGCAATTTATGCGGCGAAAGTGCGGCGTATTTGAAAAAATTCGGCCCCCGCATAAATATGCGGACTTTGGCTGATTTTGCATGGAATTCAGCGATCGCATAATCGCGTTTTTCTGGAGGGACTGCCTATAGATAATAGCAGAGGGTGAGAACGGCCCACCTGATGGCAATGACTAATGTACAGCACCGGCCGCTCTCCACCCTCCATCTCCTGGGACAGGGCCACGCAATTTTTATCCCATTTTTACAATTTTTACTATTTTTTACAATATTACTATTTTTACGTGGCCATAACGTAACATACAAAGTAATGGAGCCTTTTATACATTGTCGTCTTTCTTTAGAAATAGATAATGGATAAATGGAGTCTTTGGACGCCTCAGATGTAAAGTTATTCGCTGTCAAAGTGACGCCAAAATGAATGGGAGTCAATGGGATGCTAACAGCAGGTGATAGCCCGCTACAATGGCGGCTCCTGGAGGCAGCTTCAACTTCCGGCTGATGGATTACCCCCTTGGTAGAAACCACCAGCACTGGCAGAAGAACACAGACACACTCGCTCATTGTAAACAACAGAACAGAGGTGGGGGACTCGAGTCACATGACTTGACTCGAGTCTGACTCGAGTCACAATTTTCAGGACTTGTGACTTGCTTGATTAAAGTACAAAAATGACTTGACTTGACTTTGACTTGAGAACAAGTTACTTGAGACTTGACTTGACTTGAAGTGGAAGACTCGACAATGACTTGAACATATAATAAACAAACAGCAATACAGTTAATTAAAATATATATTATGACGTCAGCATCAATATATCGGCATCTGTGCCTTTACGCTGCTCAATTCAAACCGCGCCAAACGGAAGTTCCGGGAGTCTCACGCATATTGATAGCGTCTCCCTGATGCCCGCAAATGAGTTAAAATCTCCCGGAATCTAGAGCGAGATACTGCGCGTATAACATACATAGCGTGCGGCGTGTGCACGGCAGAGATATGGGAAGCCAAACAAACCAAAAGTGGGACGAGACAGCGGGGCTTTACAGAGCTCGTGCCGCGCAGACATGTCATCTGCACGGTTCAATGATCCGAGCCGCGCAGCCGATTCGTCAGCGCAGCGCGGACGTGTTTCCTAGCGACACTCAATAGTCAGCGCTGTACTGACCAATTTAAAGCAACGCAAACCATATGCTACATACTACATGCAAATAAATGTACAATAAAGAAACCCCTCCTTCCTTACAAAGAATTGTTCTCTACTGAAGTTTAGGAGTTAATTATGGAGAATTCCATAATTAAAACAATCATTTGTTAATATTTATGTAAATTTAATATATAATATACTATACATAATATTATTTAATATGTAATATTTATTAAATATAAAATATGTTAATATAACATATTACCATTTTTATTTTATATTTATTTTAAACATATTTTAAATATGTATATATTTAACCCCCCCCCCCCCCCCCCCCCCCCCCCCAACATTACATTCATTGAGATATACCTCCCTGAAATGAATTCTTGTAGGTTGGGATGTCTGTATGCAGCATAGATATATACACGGCTGTGCAGCTGCAAATGCGTTTTACATATAGGTTTCAGTAAATCGAGGAAAAGGAGTTTCCGAAGACATTTGTTGGCTATGATAAGAAAAACTACTGAATTAAAAAAAAATTGCATTTTATATTCTCATACATTTCATACATTTTATATTTAAACATTTATATAAGATATAAGATATTACATTTTAGATTTCATACATTTTAGACCGTTTCAATTAAATTGAATTAGACAGATTGGATTATACATCTTAGAATCGATACATCTTAGACTCTGAACGTTTTGTGTAAACAACACAATTTTATTTTATTTTCAGATATTAATGTAGCACAGATATGCATATGATTAATATAGCAAATGTAAGATACATAATATATGTATAAAAGTTCATCTTTTCTGTGCAAAAATAAATATATATCGAAAAAATTTACCTCTATTTATTTTAGTAGTGTGACTTGACTTTACTTGAAACTTATCAGGACTTGACTTGACTTGCTTAGGGTGAACCCTTGACTTGACTTGACTTGCTTGATTTATCTGAACTGCGACTTGAGACTTGACTCGAGACTTGATGGTTAAGACTTGAGACTTGCTTGGACTTGACCATGTGTGACTTGTCCCCACCTCTGCAACAGAACTCTTCAGAGACAGCAAACGATCGGCTCCGAAGCGAAAGGCAACTAGTGCGTGTATCCACTTCCGTATTTATATTACCCGTGCTGCGGGGCGGACAGTTATGTCATCACGTACGCCAATTCCCATTGGCGGTTGAGTAAATGATAACAATATTTTCATTCTTCGGTGAACTTTAAAGCAGGCATGGAGAAACTCAAGTTAGCCTGAGCCCCCAACCTTAATCAAACACCCCTGAACTAGCTAATCAATGTCTTCAGGATTACTAGAAAGCTACAGGCAGTTGAGTTTTCTCAGGGTTGGTGCTAAACTCTGCAGGAAAGTGGTCCTCCAGGTCAGAGTTTGCCCATCCCTGCTTTAAAGTAATGTATTTCACCCATAAATTAAAATTCCAAAATTCCGTTCCAAACCTGTATGACTTTATTTGGAACACAGAATAAGATATTTTGAAAAATATCTTTTTGTTTCTTTTCATACATTGAAAGTCAATGGGGTCCAATGTTGTTTTGACCCCATTTGCATGGCCTGACGAGTCTTGGTTTCTCAGTGCAGTGATGGAGATCTGAATTTTATGCAGTTTTATTTTAGTACCATTGAGATACTATTATAGGTTTAATTAGTATTTTGATTTAGTATTTATTTTCTATTTTCTGATTTCATTCTTGTTGGTTTTAGTCTTTTTATTGTGTTTTTGTCATTCTTATCAGTTTTTGTTTGTCAATATCCTTAATTTTAGATGCACTACATGAATCAAATCTGCCATGTTCCAACGGTTCAGGCTGATGGTGGTGAAATGTGTCTCAAACCCATCCATTGATCTTCAAATCACTACACACTGTTGAAGTATTAATTTTTCTCCGTCTAATCTCTTGAGTTTATGTTGTTTTTGTAACTATGGGTTACATGGACTGGTGTACAGGGGTTATCTTGAATCTGAGCATATATATACGAACAAGACTGAGCTGCATTGTGCCCATTTAGGGAGCTAACTAGATGTTTACTTATGTTAATCTTTCTTTGGATATTGGTCTTTACCAAGCTATCATTTACAAATTTATTTTGCTTACTAAAATTAAAGAAACCATCTCAGCATATGGAGCAGTCGTGATGACGTCAAATGAAACTGACTCTGAGAATATGTTTCTCTGCTATCCACTCCTGCCGGACTCCTGTCCTAAAGTACATCGTCTTACTGTCGTTAAAGTGGCAATGTATGTTTTCATGGTGCTGATGATCCTCACAACAGTTTTTGGGAACCTGCTGATCATCATCTCCATCTCTCACTTCAAACATCTAAAGTCTCCAACTCATCTGATCGTTCGCTCTCTGGCTGCCTGTGATTGTCTGCTGGGATCTTTGGTCATGCCGTACAGCATGGTGCGATCTGTTGAAGGATGCTGGTATCTGGGAGATTTTGTGTGTAAATTGCATTTTAGTTTAGACATGACCTTCTGTATCTCTTCCATACTGCATCTCAGTTTAGTATCGATTGACAGGTACTGGGCCATTTGTGATCCTTTAAGGTACAAATTGAGGGTCACTAACAACATTGTGACTGTATTTACTACCTTTACATGGCTGTTTTCATTTGTGTACAGCTTTTATGTTGTGTTTTCGGGGATAAATGCAGTTGGACTAGAGATGCTTATATTGCAGATCTCGTGTGTGGGAAGTTGTGTTCTGTTTTTTAACAAACAGTGGAGTCTTACATGTTCAATTCTCACATTCTTCCTTCCCGGAACGATCATGAGTTCTCTTTATATGAAAATCTTCCATGTTGCAAGAAAGCATGCAAAGGTTATGTCAGAAAGAGTGACTGTGGTGACAGCAGGAGGGTTGAAGAGCCAAAGATCTGCACAAAGAGAAGGAAAAGCAGCGAAAACTCTGGCCATTGTCATGGGTGTATTTTATGTCTGCTGGCTGCCTTTTTTTACTGTTACTGCTGTTGATCCTTTTTACAATTATTTAACCCCAGTTGATGTTTATGAAGTTATAATTTGGTTTGCATATTTTAACTCCACTTGTAACCCCTTGATTTATGGATTGTTCTACCCTTGTTTTCAGAATGCATTTAAGATTCTTATATCCACTTATGTCTGTGGCGTTAATGATTCAAACACCTTGACTTTAAATGAATAAGACACTCACATTTATTTCAGACATTACAATAATGAACAGTGATCTGTGATCTGATTTTTTTTAATAATCTTTTGAAAAGAGGGGCTTGCATGACTCATGCATGGCTAAAATCAATGTTAAACATTCTCATTTTGGCAGTTTAATTTTCATTTCCTGATTTGTATCCAGGCGATTAAAGAGTATCCTCAACTGAACAACTGAAGCCGACAAAATATGCGTGATCTGTTCAAAAACTGAAAAGAGAAAAAATACATTATTGGTAGGAAACCAGTTACAATTTAAAAGTCAAATTTATAGACATCTATAGAAGGCAAGAAGGATATCCCGTACCTGTTGAGAATGTGTCGTTTGTAGTTGGATGGCTGAGTTCCAGAAAATCAGTATCAAAGTGGCTTTCAATGGATTTTTTAACAGTTTTAACAGATTAATAGAAATAAGGTGGGTTTAAACAAGAGTTCTTTACTCAACACAAAGAACCAATTATCATTAAAGCTTCTTTAGAACGATATTGTTCTAAAACATACACACACACACACACACACACACACACACACACATATATATATATATATATATATATATATATATATATATATATATATATTTGTAAATAACCTTTTTTAGAGTGAACAGTATATGACTTCATGAATTTAAATATCTTTTATTCAACATTGATGGAGCATTTTGCGCATTTGTCATTTCATTGGATTAGTTTCATTACATATTTTTTTACCAAGGTGCAGGTAGTTTTTTTGTAATTTAGTGGCTGGGTCAAATTTACTGGGAATACAAATAATGATGAGTTCTATTATTAAAGACTGTTCCCATCCTTTACATTACGAACTCGAGCTCCGTCCCTTTTGTCAGTTTGTGACCACTAGGTGGAGAACAAAATACATTACAGCAATACTTATGTACCTTTAGCGATTGCATTATTAAATAAAAAAAGTATGAGATGACACACTTTGGCCATGCATGGCACTTTATGCTTTTGAGGTTTGGGTAAGAGTGTGTGCAGAGGCACATTGTCATGACCTTTTTCTTTTCTTAGGAGTTTTTAATACTTTTAACTTTTTGATATATTATATATACTGTATTATAAATGTATTTAATGCATGTTCTGATGTCTCATGAATTTGTCTTAATTATGGATTGCTGATTCTCCTGTCTGCACAACAAATGTACCCTCAGTTACTAAAAAAGACACCTTAAACCCTCTCACACAACAACCCAGCGCTGGGTCAGTGTTATTGAATGGATTGGAACAGACATATAGCCAACTGATACAAGTTGTTTTCCCAAACATTCCCAGACCACATCATCTGCCACAATGTAGAAATTCACCTCTAGCCAAGTCAGCAATCATAAGACTCATTCATGCCAGGTTAGGGTTGCACACATAAGAGGTCGACCGCTTGATCGGCTGGACAATTAATCAGGTTGATTTTGGGAATTTTTTTATGAATCGTCATCGGCCGATTGTGCTGCAAATTAGGCTGATTAATAGGTAGGGGCATCTACAGGCAGCTAAGTGTTGTGGAATGTGACACTGCCTCTTGGAGCATGAATATGGGCTCTATGCACGCCGGTATTTCCGGTGAAGGATTAAGGATGCTCGATAACTTCCGCCGATCGTAGAGTCCAATGCAATACCGAGAATTTATATTGAATTTTATACTCCATGGTTATACTAAAGAAACGTTAGTCACAAAAACAGATAAAACAGACACCCCTCGTTGTGTTTATGCTTCTTTTTAAAATGATATTAAATAAACATAACTTAATATAAAATTACATATAAACGTATGAAAGTTTCGTTTCAAAATGGGAGGACAGTAAATTTTGAAGACTGCCATAATCCCGTTTTCCTCGGTTTTCCTCCGCTTTAATCTCCCCAACCGGAAACTGAAGAGCATCCTTGCGTCAAATGCGGAACTTATGCGTGCATATAGACCCCTTTTGCGCCGACGTCACAGTTACGTCACGGCGCTAGCTGGAGGCAAAACAAAGTGAAAACTGGAGGCGGACAATGCAAACCAGCACAGATTCGGCTACATAATGAGCTTAAATTAATTTTATGATTTTTTTTAAATGTCATATTATTGTGTTGTTTGGTGCAAGTATGGATGAAAAATGAATATGCTGTATCTGGATTTTTTATTTCTAGAAAATATTCACATGATTAAAATCGCACCGAAATGACACTCTTTACATTGTCGTCTTCTCTGCCCTAGCTCGGCAGAACTGCGGATCATACACACACGTCTTGTACAGGACCATTCAGAACATAGTTATAGGCATCTAAAGATTTGTATGCCCTCAGTTTCTCTTTACGATCGGTTTCTCTATAAGGTGGGTGTAGAAGTCAGGCCACTCACCCGAGGTAACGTAACGTTAATCCTGTCAGATTGTCCATGCATCGAGTGAGCGTGTAGGTGGCTACGGGTCGGCCAATCTGGTTCCGTCCGTTAAAAATAACTTTTGAAAATAACAATTGCGGTCCTGGAGAGTGAGTGACCTTACACATTAAAATAAAATCTGATTTTCTCCAGTCATTGTTAAAAAACAGGCTAATAAAACTCGCTAACTAGCGTTAGTGAAGCGGCCAGAGGGATCTTTCTGCCTCCACCTAAGCTCCGCCCACAAAAAAACGTCACCATGTTTACCAACTGTAAAAGGGTCTATAGCCTATTGGCAGAAAGAACCCATTAACCGTGCCGGAGCACACAGGGGAATGACTGGGTCAACACTGAACAGTGAACTGAAATAGTGAAGCACTCACTATTCCACCCTCTAACCAGCTGTTAACACGTACAAACCTTTAGAAATTTGTTGCTGTTAAAACAGTAGTTGAGCGCTCAAAGCTTGCGATCACTACTGCACTCACGCTGTAGAAACCACCAGCGCTGGCAGAAAAGCACAGACACACTCGCTCATTGTAAAACAACAGAACTCTTCAGACACAGCAAACGATCGGCTCCGAAGCAGAAGGCAACTAGCGCGTACATCCACTTCCGTATTTATACCCGCGCTGCGGGGCGGACTGTGTTATGTCATCACGTACGGCAATTCCCATTGGCTTTTTCAATACTCGAAGATGATTAGCTCACTGGTGTGATCCCCATTCAGTTTACGTCGACTACGTCTGACATTCTCGACTAAAAGGGAACTGTTATCCTTTTTGATCACCAGGTGCCACTATGCCCTACGGTTAAGAGTAATTTCAAGGCATGATGCTTAAAGGGATAGTTCATAAAAAAATCCCTCTCAAGTTGTTCCAAACACGTGAGTTTCTTTCTTCTGTTGAACACGAAATAAGATATTTTAAAGAATGTTTAAAACCATACATTTGACAGTAACCATTGACATCCATATTAGGAAAAATAATACTATGGAAGTCAATGGCACCCCTGAACTAGCTAATCAATGTCTTCAGGATTACTAGAAAGCTACAGGCAGGTGAGTTTTATCAAGGTTTAGAGCGATATTATGCAGGAAAGTGGTCCTCCAGGACAGAGTTTGCCCGTCCCTGCTTTAAAGTAATATATTTCACCCATAAATTAAAATTATGTCTTAATTTACTGTCCCTCAGATCGTTCCAAACCTGTATGACTTTCTTTCTTATTTGGAACACAAATAAGTTTTCTCTTAAAATAATCGCTTTTTAGAGGGCCTAAACATGCTCGAAAACTCATGAAACTTTGCACACGCTTCAGAAGTGGTGAAAATTTACGTGTGATATGGTTTTTAAAATTGGGTGGGACGAATTTTTTAAATTATTGCCCCCACATTTTGCCCCGGCTCTACGTTTCACGTACAGGTATGAAATTTGGTACATACATGTAATGACCAAATACCTACAAAAAAGTCTCTTGGAGCATAGCCCTAAACACAACAGGAAGTCAGCTATTTTGAACTTCCTCCTAGATTTTGTGTATTTTTCGTAATTTCCTGATGTTGTACTTTAACGAACTCCACCTACAGTTTTGATCTGATCCTCTTCAAATTTGGTGAGTGTAATCTTAAGGCCTTTGCAACGTTAAATTGCAAAGATCTTGAGTTTTCATCGAAGGGTGTGCCCTTGGCGGCCTGACAAATGTACACCCAATTTCAGCCTTTTGGTGATTTGTGCTTGAATATGTCATATAGGTCAATATTGCTTGCAGTTCCGATGTTGCTAGGCAACCATAGACAGCCTGCAGTAACTCAGGCATACAATGTCCGATCTGCCCCAAACTTCACATTTTTGATAAGAGTCCTGTCCTGAACACATGACCATGCTCATATTTGGTTATAGCAATAGCGCCACCTGCTGGTAGCAGGAAGTGTGCAAATACAAATCCTTTGACATAGTCCTCCTATATTTATAATCATTACATACTGCCCACCGTGCTCTGTTTTCCTAAAACCGCCGGGCGGTGGCAGCACGAGTGCGAGAGCCCTTTTCAACGCTGCTTGCAGCTTTAATTTGATTTTGATTTGTTTCTGTTCATACATTGAAAGTCGATTGGGTCGAATGTTGTTTTGAACCCATTTGCATGGTCTGACGAGTCTTGGTTTCTCAGTGCAGTGATGGAGATCTACATTTTATGCAGTTTTATTTTAGTACCATTGAGATACTATTATAGTTTTAATTATTATTTTGATTTAGTATTTATTTTCTATTTTCTGATTTCATTCTGGTTGGTTTTAGTCTTTTTATTGTTTTTGTCATTCTTATCAGTTTTTGGTTCAGGCTGATGGTGGTGAAATGTGTCTCAAACCCATCCATTGATCTTCAAATCACTACACACTGTTGAAGTATTAATTTTTCTCTGTTTAATCTCTTGAGTTTATGTTGTTTTTGTAACTATGGGTTACATGGACTGGTGTACAGGGGTTATCTTGAATATGAGCATATATATACGAACAAGACTGAGCTGCTCTAAGCCCATTTAGGGAGCTTACTAGATGTTTACTATATATCATGTACTATATAAATGTTAATCTTTCTTTGGATATTGGCTTTTACCAAGCTATCGTTTACAAAAT